ATTCATGTTTGCCAGAGCATTAAGAATAATGGCACCCCTTTGCATCTGCTAAAGAGCAGCATGTTTGTGTGTCGGAAACACACGTGATTTTGTGCATTTTCCCTGACACGCAGTAATATGAACCAAGCCTTAGACTGGGGTGCCTCGAGATACTTTTCAAATGTGCCCTGACTGAAAAAAAGGTTGAGTAACACTGTATAAGGCAATTTAAATTGGTCTCATTTATCTTCATTGAAGCTGCGTAGATGCTGGTGAGAATATAGAAATCCAGGGTCCCTTCTATTACTCATGTGACCAAAAAATATCATGGTATCTATCTCTTCAGTGAGCAATTAGCCACTATGCCGCAAGACAAGGTTAAAAAGTTTTCAGAAAATCTAATTACCTCTGCGGATATCCTAATGACTTGGTATGGTCACTGTAACTTACTGTAGCATATCTGTGGGATGGTTTGTTCGGTGCGTGCCCTCTTCTTTCCCACTTTCACCCCTTCTTTTCTTTATGTTCACACTCTGCCAATGAACTGTTAGTAGTTTTTGCATAGACAATCCCCTTTTTCGGGAGCTTTTTTAGCGTTTGCTAGCAACCGTGTGATGTTTAGCAGCTAAAGTCCTAGCAAACTTCTCTTGAGTTCTCCCTACTTCCTGGAAGCTTTTTCTTGTATATACCTTTCCTATTTACACTTCCTTTCACTAAGATTTTAGTGTGTGTGTGTGTATATATATATATATATATATATATATATATATATATATATACAGTCAGGTCCATAAATATTGGGACATCGACACAATTCTAACATTTTTGGCTCTATACACCATCACAATGGATTTGAAATGAAACGATCAAGATGTGCTTTAACTGCAGACTGTCAGGTTTAATTTGAGGGTATTTACATCCAAATCAGGTGAACGGTGTAGGAATTACAAAAGATTGAATGTGTGCCTCCCGCTTGTTAAGGGACCAAAAGTAATGGGACAATTGGCTTCACAGCTGTTCCATGGCAAGGTGTGTGTTATTCCCTCATTATCCCAATTACAATGAGCAGATAAAAGGTCCAGAGTTCATTTCAAGTGTGCTATTTGCTTTTGGAATCTGTTGCTGTCAACTCTCAAGATGAGATCCAAAGAGCTGTCACTATCAGTGAAGCAAGCCATCATTAGGCTGAAAAACAAAACAAACCCATCAGAGAGATAGCAAAAACATTAGGCGTGGCCAAAACAACTGTTTGGAACATTCTTAAAAAGAAGGAACGCACCGGTGAGCTCAGCAACACCAAAAGACCCGGAAGACCACGGAAAACAACTGTGGTGGATGACCAAAGAATTCTTTCCCTGGTGAAGAAAAACACCCTTCACAACAGTTGGCCAGATCAAGAACACACTCCAGGAGAGGTAGGTGTAAAGTCAACAATCAAGAGAAGACTTCACAGAGTGAAACAGAGCGTTCACCACAAGATGACAGATCAAAAACAGGAAGGCCAGAGAGTTTTTTGCCCAACGATCTAAAAAAGCCTTCACAGTTTGTATCCATGGACAGATGAGGATCAAGAGAAGAGTATGGAGAAGGAAAAGGAACTGCTCATGATCCTAAGCATACCCACCTCATCAGTGAAGCATGGTGGTGGTAGTGTCATGGCGTGGGCATGTATGGCTGTCAATCGAACTGGTTCCCTTGTATTTATGGATGATGTGACTACTGACAAAAGCAGCAGGATGAATTCTGAAGTGTTTTGGGCAATATTATCTGCTCATATTCAGCCAAATGCTTCAGAACTCATTGGACGCCGCTTCACAGTGCAGATGGACAATGACCCAAAGCATACTGCAAAAGCAACCAAAGAGTTTTTTAAGGGAAAGAAGTGGAATGTTATGCAATGGCCAAGTCAATCACCTGACCTGAATCCGATTGAGCATGCATTTCACTTGCTGAAGACAAAACTGAAGGGAAAATGCCCCAAGAACAAGCAGGAACTGAAGACAGTTGCAGTAGAGGCCTGGCAGAGCATCACCAGGGATGAAACCCAGCATCTGGTGATGTCTATGCGTTCCAGACTTCAGGCTGTAATTGACTGCAAAGGATTTGCAACCAAGTATTAAAAAGTGAAAGTATGATTTATGATTATTATTCTGTCCCATTACTTTTGGTCCCTTAACAAGTGGAGGCACATATGCAAACTGTTGTAATTCCTACACGGTTCACCTGATTTGGATGTAAATACCCTCAAATTAAAGCTGACAGTCTGCAGTTAAAGCACATCTTGTTCGTTTCATTTCAAATCCATTGTGGTGGTGTATAGAGCCAAAAATGTTAGAATTGTGTCGATGTCCCAATATTTATGGACCTGACTGTATATATATATATATATAATATATACTGTATATATAACAAATCTATATTAGAACGACCATCCTTAGGCATCTCTTGTCATTGCATTAGTATGTTTGTTTTATACCATGTAATTCTGTGGTATGTACACCTGTTTGGAAAACTATTGTAAAGTTTACTAGTCAATTGTATTTTGTGCAATAATTATTGAAACGGAAACCGGTATCCTGAAGAAAAAAAAAATATCAGTCAGGAGACAGCCAGAGAGCCCCCTGTACAGTGACCACCTGGTCACCTTATGCGAGGAACAAACAAGGAAAGCAGTCCGCATATACATCTGAACAGATTATAGGCATTAGTTATACACATAAGTATATGGGAAAGCGCCAATATGTATTATCTAAAAGGAGCTGTCGGCATTACTCAAAATTCACAAAGTTCATGTGAAGAGCAGCAATTTTTATACACATTGCTACCTAGATCTCTTAGTCCAGTTTGTTATACATGTGCTTTAAACTAACAAAACGCCTCCCTGTAAAAAACCAAGTCCAAAGGCATAAGATAACAGCCACACCTGTACCTCAAATCGTAAAATTGACTTACACATCTAGAAGGGATGGGGCAGTGGTACAGGAGGAGGATAGCTGTGGGGGGATGGAGTTTAAAGAGTGGAGGAGGTCAGCCAAGTTAGCAGGGGAAAGGTAGGCTTGCAAAAAAGTGGACCAATTGCCGCCCAAGTCTATAACTGGCTTATGGAAGCAAGGACACAGCTCCAAAACAGGCATCACATAGTGATAAAAAGGCCTGGTGAGAGAGAACAATCTGATTGGACAACTTGCCAGCCATAATTTGCGGATAATGTAAAAAAAACATTCCTGTCTAAGAAGTGTAAAATAAGGGCGTTTAAACAGGGGTTTAATTAGCTTAAAACACATTTGCAAACTTATATATACAAAACTACGTGAAAGGTAACATCTCCTCAAGACATTGGTTAGGAAAACACACACATATAACTATATTATACATATATGGATCATTTCTTTGTGAGTCAGTATGCTTTTGAATTTATCATTGGCCCTAAAGTTTAATGTGAGTCCCCATCTAGTATAGGCACATGCATTTCAATGGATAGATCAAGGGCATGGTGGACCTGAGGGAGCCACCCCTCTTAAAGGCAAAGGAGTGCACTGGACCCCAGCATGTAGCACAATGGCAACCAGGGCCCTAGCAGTGCACCCACCGTACCAAATAAAACTCAAACATGCATAAAAGTGGCCACCGCCCACATGTCTATGTGATGCCTGTTTATGTGTCCTTGCTTCATAAGCCAGTTATAGACTTGGGCGGGTGGCCACTTTTATGCATGTTTGAGTTTTTTGGTACGTGGGTGCACTAGGGCCCTGGTTGCCATTGTGCTACATGCTGGGGTCCAGTGCACTCCTTTGCCTTTAAGAGGGGTGGCTCCCTCAGGTCCACCTGCCCTTGATCTATCCATTAAATGCATGTGCCTCTACTATGGGGACTCACAAATTTTAGAGTTAGGACCACAGATGATCAGGGTGCCGTGTCGTGGCTCTGTGGCTTACGTATGTATTTGCAAATGTGTGCTAACTAAACCCCTGTTATAAACGCATACTGTTAGACAGGTTAATTCGGTTGTTAGCAAGCTGGCTGGCAAGTTGTCCAAGAACATTGTTCTCTCCCCCTTTTTTTCACTAGGTGAGGTAGGCTTCCCTGAAGAGATGGGTTTTCAGGGTGCGCCTAAAGGAGAGGAGAGTAGGTGATAATCTGATGGGTTGGGGCAGGGAGTTCCAGAGGATAGGTGACACCCTGGAGAAGTCCTGGAGGCGGGCATGGGAGGAGGAGACCAGGGAACAGATATAGGCAAGTTATGACAGACATAAGAAATCAGATGGGGAAATGCAGACAGATATGTATTATCTTAAAAGGAGCTCGGCATACTCAAAATTCACAAAGTTCTGTGAAAAAGAGCAGCATATTTTTAAGGCACATTGCCTACCTAGATCTTAGTCCAGTTTGTTATAGGCATGGTGCTTTAAACTAACAAAACGCCTCCCTGTAAAAACCAAGTCCAAACCATTGCATAAGATAACAGCCACACCTGTACCTCAAATCAGTAAAATTGACTTGACTTCTGATTACATCAGAACAATTGATTACACTCAATTTTTTTTTTTTTTTAAAGATTTGTGCCAGGATCAGGATCAGGAGAAAGGTTTAAATACAAGTGACAAAATTGCAGCAATTTTTTTTTTGCAATCAGTGGATATGGAGTGCAAGCCCACAGCTCCAATAACATATAATTCCCTCCTGATGAACAAGGCCTGGTGAAAGCAGATCTGATTGGAAAGTGCCCACATAATTTAAGAACGGATGCTATGTAAAAAAAAACATTTTAGTTAAGAAGTGTAAAATAAGCCACCCGTCTTAATCCTCTAGATTAATCACTTAAATAACATTAAAATAAACTTATATATAGCAAACTCAATTTAGTGAAAGGTAACATCTCCTGCAAGACATTGGTTTAGGAAAACACACACATATAACTATATTATATATATATATATATATATATATATATATATAATTTATTTTTTTTCACATTTCTTTGGAGTCAGTATGCTTTTGAATTTATCATTTGGCCCAGTTAGTTAATGTACAGCTGAAGGACTTTGGGTACTTACATCTGGTATAAAGCCAATCTCATTGAGATGATTGCTCAGCTCCGGGTCATGAAATGCTATCATTTGGGAAAACACCGTCAGGTACTCTAAAATAACAAAGTTACTGGAAAGTGAATCAAACAGCAAAACACTCTTAAACACAAAAGATACATTTTCAGTTTAAAAATATGTTAAAGGTACATTTTTATACAAATCTAAAAAAGGTTTGACCAATCACAATAAACCTGAATGAGTCTCCAGTTGCAATATATGAATTTTGATCAAGATCTTCAAACTGCACAGAAGCTGCCAAGTAAATCACGTAACATCATTTTCAATGGTACAGTTTCCATCTAAGTTTTTTGTGAGTTGATGGTCAGCAAAATTTGGCAGCAATATTCACCTATTTTGACCAAATTCATCCATTTTTTAATTGAATGTATCTAAGTGCATAATCACAAAATATATATTTTTGCATACGCCACTGTTTTCAGGGATCTGGTCACTTGGCATAGAAACAAAGATGTGCACTGTACCATGTAAAATAAAACATGCAATAGCAACAATTCAAAAACAAGCACCTTAGCAGAGATTATCTCTTACAGATACCAATAGACATAACACCAACCTAACAAGCAAAGTGGATTTGTTTCCTGCTGCAGTTAAATTCAATGTTGTTTTTATTTTGCTGATAAAAATTAGACCATTAAAGCTATAATTGTTTTGGTAATGAAAAGCAAAAAAAAATCCTTCTACAGTTCTATAGATCACTACACAACACATGCCATCAGGATACATATTCAGCTCTACACAGAAATACAGGTATAGCTGAAAATAGAGTGCATCTTTTACATTGTTAACAGACATGTGCTCCAATCTGGAAGTCTGCAAAACATGACCTATTAGCATTAACATAAGTTGCCTCTTAAGAGTCCTTAAAGAGTCCTTAAATATGGACACTGTACAATTGAAGGTTGACATTTCGAAAAGGAAGGGGTTGAAGAGTTCCCAGGAAAGTGCCCTGGAAAGTTAAATTTAAGACTTATTTTTTTCATAAATGTATGTTGCATGTAGGTAGTGCTTTGAAAATGAGCCATACAGCTGTGCTCAAAAGTTTGCATACCCTTGGAGAATTTGTAATATACGGTACAGTATGTACTATTTTTAAAGAGAACATGAGCGAGCAGGCAAAACACAGTTCTTTTATTTCTTATGCAATTCATATTCAACTGTAGGTCATAACAGAATAGCACAATCATAAAACAAAACATGGCAATAGGTAAACAAATGAAATGACCCCTGTTCAAAAGTCTGCATACCCCTAATTCCTAATACTGTGTATCACACCCTTTAGAATCAATGACAACATGCAGTCTTTTGTAATAGTTGTCTGAGGCCCTGAATGTGGTATAGCTGCCCATTCGTCGTGGCAAAATGCCTCCAGGTCATGAAAAGTCTTTGGTTGTCTTGCATTAACCGCATGTTTGAGATCTCACCAGAGGTGCGTCAAGGTGTTATCGGACATATTGTAACCATGATTTTCGATAGCATTGGTGCAGTAAAGGCTTTTTTCTGGCAACTTGACTATGAAGCTCATTTTTGTTTGAATATCATTGTACTGTGCCCCTTGAAACAATTACACCGTCTTTTTCCAGAGCAGCCTGTATTTCTCCTGAGGTTACCTGTGGGTTTTTCTTTGTATCCAGAACAATTCTTCTGGCAGTTGTGGTTGCAATCTTTCTGTGTACTTTACCTTGGCTTGGTATCAAGAGATCCCCAAATTTTACACTTCTTAATAAGTGATTGAACAGTGCTGAGTGGCATATTTAAGGCTTTGGATATCTTTTTATATCCTTTTTCAGCTTTATAAAATTCCATCACCTTGTTACGCAGGTCTTTTGAAAGTTATTTTCTGCTTCCTATGGATCAGTATCTAGCCTGCTCAGTGCATCCACATGAGAGCTAGCAAACTAATTGACTATTTATACACAAGCACTAACTACAATCAATGTAAAAAGCCACAGATATAGGTAATTACCTTTAATTGCCATTTTACCTGTGTGTGTCACTGTATCTGTACCAAGCCCAAACATTCCAGGGTATGTAAACTTTTGATTTAGGGCCATTTGGGTGATTTCTGTTATTGTTACAATTTAAAAAGGAGCCAAACAACTATGTGATAATTAAATGGCTATCCTTATATAAAACAGTTTTTGGCATGATCAATCATAATTTCAATATCAATGCCAAAATCTCATTATTTCTGCCAGGGTATGCAAACTTTTGAGCACAACTGTACATCTGTACAACTGTAATAATACGCGTGGGGAGGAACAAGGTTACGTTAAGACCAGAGGACTGGAAGTGTGGCCAGAGAGCTGTATGTCCTGAGTACAACATTATTTTAATGTGGTTTTTAACATACAGTATTTGAAATGTGAATGCAATTTTAATAAATCTACTGGTTTTAAATACTACACAATGGTGGCATCTGTTTGCTCTAAGATAACCCTGCATGGATACAGGGAAGTGCAGAGGAAGATTTAATCGTGTAGTGACCCTGCAAATCTGAGTGGCCTGGAGAGAGACCTAGCAGATCTGAGGAGGCATTTTATTATCCACAGTGGGGACAATGCTCTTTTGACCTATATTGGTTTATGGGTCAAGGAACCAAGGTGACAGCACACCTATAGTCACATTGGTAGTACTCATAGTGTGAAGAATTCCCGCTGCAGCACTGGGATTGTGGGATAAGTTCACTTCTGTGGATTTTTTAGAGACGCTTGAAACCACATTTGCATGTACTGTGAAGAAGAACTTTGGCTTTTTGATGGTATTTGATTCAGATGGGCCTATATTTATATGCACTATACCCTTTATTATATATGTTAAGTATAGGTATTGTATGATGGAATTATTATTTTTTTTTTTGTTTACTCCTACAAGCAGCAGTGTAACACATAGCTTATTTGGATAATATTCAGATAAGGTGGAAAACACACTTTAGTGATGTGAATCGTTCACACAAATAATGTGTGAAAGAGTGATATTATTTTGCATTTCATTGTTTGGTTTATTTGACACTATCAGCAGGGCAACACAAGGCACAATTGCTGTTTACTATGTCAGTGGTGAACACATGTTAGTGATTGCAGCCGCTGAATAAAGGAGGATGATCCTGTTAGACTACAACTTGATAATATATAAAAGGAAAAAAAGATGTATCCAAAAATCTCAGTGATGGTGGCATGCCCAATATTTATCATACTACAGAACCAGCCTATGATACTAGATATCTAGAAAGAAAAAACATACAGGCTTGTTGTTTAAGGCAATGCAAAAGCCAGTGGTCAGGATCAAAGTAAACTACACAACAAAATTAGATTTCACCTCTAATTAGTTTCTAGTACTAGAAACAATGGAAATTGATTTCTTATGCTGGCTTTTAATGGATACTTCAATTTGCACATTGCCCTGCTTAAAAGGAAATTCTAAACTGCTACACAAAACTGCACATAACATGTATGTCACAATTCCACACAGATATGTGCCATCTCAAGGGCCTTTACCCAAGAAGAACCATTACAACATGTGCAAATCTATGTATCTGCTCCGCACCTATTTTATACACAAAACAGATTTGTTAATTTAAATTTATGATAATTGGTTCTTCCTAGTCAACTCTATCGGAGAAGTATTATTAACATATACTCAGGGCATGCCATGCCTCTTTGGAAACACAATGATAACTGTCTGCACATTCGTTTACAGTCAGTCAACGGTGAAAAGTTATTCTGGAACGTAGTTTAATGACTCCAAGTTTAGCTGCCAAATGCCTAACTAAGAATGAATGTAAAAAGGCAGATTGGACAGGAAGATAGTGGATAAGTATTCCCTGTTATTTCAGCCTCATTAAAAGCTGAATAGCGAGCAAGCAGCTTACCACAGTTAAAACACGTTTATGAGAAAGGTATTTGTAATTCTGTTCAGCTAGTATTCTGATCCAGGTATTCCTGGCAGATAGCACAGATAGGTCCTTAATCCCCACTCCAGCATTGGTTCAGCTTGATAAAAAAAACTTGTGCCCAGTCAGCTGACACAATAGTAAAGCCAATTTGAAATCACATACCTTTTTCTCTTTATAACATTGTAAACTTTAACATGTTTAACTTAGGTTCACCTGTCATTGCCCCCAAGGGGTCACTAAAACCTTTGTGAGCAAATCAAAATTTTGAAGTTTGGTAATGCACCAGTTTACCTAACAATACATTTTAACGGCTTTGTATACCTATAGGATTTACATTTTTGCTCATAAGGGACCCTTAATTTTGTAATATATTTTTAAGCACACCTTTCAAAATGTTTTATGATAAGCAAAGAAATGGACAAAAATTAAAAATGCAATTTACCAGTTCTCTATGACCATCATTGGTAAGTCATGGTGATCTCATGATTGGTAACCACTCTAAATGGTTACTGATCACACTGCCTAGTTCCCCAGCAGTACCATGCAACATACAACTGGGTGTCAAAGTGAACTCTTGAGAGTGCTACAGATTTGGAAAAAGCACCTTTTTTAATGCCATCCCAACAACAGAAATTTTCAGGAGAATGTTAACGCACATGGGGGACAAGAATGGATTAAAATGCATGTAAAGCCAAAGCAATTACTTGGAAGGGTGTTACCCATTTTTTATTGCTGCCTGTGGGAAACAAAAAGTGATGGGAGATCTAACATTTTTAAGTTGTCAGAGAAAAAAGAGGTGAAGGTAAATGATTGAATGAAGAAACTTTTCCCCTCCTCAAGGAGCCACAGGTGGCTCGTACAGCTGGCTATAGAAGTAAATGGCTGTACGCACTTGTACTTGTATATGCCAATGCTTTTTTGCTGCCATTTTACACTTGTGCATTTTTTCAGCCTCTCACAGTCTGTGCTGTCTAAAAGAAGATTTCCCACAAATTAAAAAAAGTCACAAGCACTCTCACCAACACTTGCAGTGCTAATGGAGAAAGGGAACATGTTTGCCCAAGTCTGTTACATAATAGAGTGATCTGGGCAGCATGGTCAAACGCTGATACCTGCAGGCATATTTAGGCACACTGCACAACTGTTTTTACAGGAAAGCAGAGGTAAAACTATGAAAATGGGGGTTGTTCGTACAACTTAATATCTATTTCAGTGAATTCAGTTGCATTTTAAGAAGTAACAGCATATTGGTGAGTTCATCCCTCTTCAAAACTGAAACCACATGCAAACAGATTGCAAACAACATCTGAAATTCACATACTGGGTGTATTTACTAAAGGCAAATAGACTGTACCTTTGCAAGTGCAGTTGCACTCATTTTTCCCAGAGCTTAGTGAATGTGGTAAAACTCTGCTGATTTCCACTATCAAATCATGTGCAAGCAAAAATGTTTTTTTTATTCTACCTCATTGGGTATACTTTACAAACTGAAGCTGTTCCACATTACATTTACTAAGGAAAATGAGTGCAACTGCACTTGCAAAAGTGCACAGTCTATTTGCCTTTAGTAAATCAACCCCAATAGGATTTGTATTATTGTTCAGTTTATATGAAGATTAATTTATCTCTGCCAAACTGCATAGTAATGCAGGTGATACCCCTGCTCTCTGGTTCAGCTCTTCAGCTCCCTATGTCACCTGTGTCCTGGAGCCTCCTTTCTATTCACTAGGCAATGAACAAGCATAATTACCTTTGTCCAACAAGTTGGGAGCCTATATGATACAATAGGAAAGGTGATCCTCCTCACTGTGAAGAATGGCAGAAGTACTGTATGTGGGTAACAGGACTGGCTGAACAGAACTGCAAATTTTTAAGGAGGTAAACATATGCACTGTATTTCAACTATAAATTTAGTTGCTTGCTTTCCACTTTAGAGAAACTGTTAAAAAATATGCAATGTAGGTTCAGAATTGTAATGAAAGCACTACCACTCTAAGGATGCTTACTTTGCCAGCATGTGAAGAGTGAATCAGGAGAAGGTGAGCACTCAAACTTCTCTTCTCTCTGCCCATAATGCATTGACTTTAGTAGGAAAACATCTAATACAGAAAGGCAACAAAGGAGGAGCAAGACAAGGCTTGTTGAAGAACCTTTACTACAGCAATCTACACAGTGGGCTGCAAAGGTACAGCATGGTCTTAAGGTGGTTCTAAAGCCTCGTTGTTTTTTACCTTGATGCATCCCCTGCGAGGTAAAAATAACACCCCACTAATCATTTCCCTTTCCCCCTTCTATAAACACATACCTGATCTTGTCATCGATCCAGCGCTATGCCCGGCTGCAGTCTTCTCTCCCCTCTTTCCTTCCTCTCACGGGGACTTAAGCAGCAGAAGGAGCCATTGGCTCCAGCTGTTATCAGTCAAGTTCTGTGAGCAGAAAGGGGGGTGGGGGGGGTTTGGCCAAGCCTCACTGTGTGTGTCTATATATGCAAACAGTACGGCTTGGGATTGAGCATGCAGCTACAATAGGAAGTGGCTTCCTTTAGAGGCAAACCGAGAAAAGGAGGAGCCTGGAGCGCCAGTGGGGGACCCTAGAAGAGAAGGATCAGGGCTGCTCTGTGCAAAACCATTGCACAGGGCAGGTAAGTAGGACATGTTTACTATTTTAAGAGAAAAAACATGGCGTATTTTACAATCACTTTAAAAGCGTCCTCTATCTTTGCCTAATTTCTCCACCCTAATCTTATATATACATAAGCAGGTGTTGTGTAATCACAGTGGTTAGGAAAAAATCATAACTAACATTATACCCATTAATATAAAACAAAAAAGAAAGCATAACAAGATTAAGATGTAATAAAAATTTAACAGCTACTGATTTATATAACAAGAAATGTATCAAATCTAAATGTATTTATCTTTGAATATAATGTTCACAGATAGTATCTTCAAAATGTTATATGCTTACCTTGGATAACATGTGAATTATCTTTCAGGAAGAAGTTATATAGATATTTTGGTATGAAAGCACACATGCAGGCATATGCCAAAGCTAAAAGAAAACAAAATAAAATCATATATCATTTTATTGTCTCAATAACATGAACTATAAGCCGCTGTATTAATGTAAAAGAGTAAAGCTGAAGTTTGGCTATAGCAATTTTTATGTACAGTAGTTACATTGGTTCAGCTTGGACCAGGGTAAGTTTGTATACCTGTGGGATCCCCGTGGAAGTTGGAAATAACTTTAGTAGGCGCTGCTACTCTAGTGATCTCCACTAGCTGTTTAGTTGTCTTTAGAACAGAAATAGAGGGAAAGTCTTCCAACGGGGGTATATCATATTCCTCTCACTTCCTGTTGTGTCTACAGGACAGGAAATGAAGGAAAGTCTCTCTATCGGGACTTGGATGGCAAAAAGACAAGCTTTAAATGGCTTTTGGTTGTTCCATACTTTATCCAAAAAGTTTACTTTAGATAAACTTCAAGCAGCATCTCTATTGTACAGCGCTGAGCAAACCCTTTTGGCGCTATATAAACTCGATGTAATAATAATGTAATAATCTTCAGCTGCACTGGTCATACTATCTTAAAGTGTTACTGAACCCAGGACCCTGCATTCTCTCTATCTGGTTTCTCATAGTACACAACACATGGAAATGCAATTATTTTAGTAAATATAAACTGCTAAATACCTTTTATCAGCAGTTAGAGCAATCTTGTGACTTCTATCAGTATCCAGCTGAGCACATTAAAACTTGTAGGAGGAGTGTTCTCTCTGCTCAAGGAGGATGCAAAACCCCTGACCACTGTCTGGACAGTTCTGATTGGCTCTGTGCTGATCACATGCACTCTCCCAAGAAAAAAAAAAAAAAAAACCTTTCTAGTAATTCACACCAAACTGAACATGTAGAGAGTGTCTCCACATGATATGTCTTATCAGGAGATAAGAGGGGGACACTGGAAGAAGGGGAGGATCAGAGAAGTCAGTAAACAGCATTTTAGCATACCCAGTGGAACCCCTTAGGTTCCACTGGGTATGACAAGCATTCTTTTCTGCATATACAGACTGATTTTACTGTTGTGGGTTTATTTACACTAAGTTTCTTCCTATGATTTATTTAGTAGAAAAATTATATTTTTAAAAATATTTTTTATATTATGGGTCAAAAACAGTTTTTTAAGAATTCCTCCCCCAGAGCACTGCTTATTAGTCAGCCAGAATTTGTTGACAACCTCATAGAAGTCTGTGGAGAATTTCTTTACAACCAGTTGGATGTATTGGGTGCACTGAGAGTCGAAACCTGTCAACTTCGAGACTTTATACTGTACCTGAAGATCTCTGATTTGGAGGCATAAAGGTGATTGTAGTGCACATCATCATTTCACTTACCTGACCCACAATCTAGGGATATTTTCTCCAAGTAATTTGTTTTTATTAATGGTGTTCCAAGAAAGAAACTGATAGTCTAACACTGCTAATCTCTAATTTGGAAAATTGGGTTCGCCTGCTAATCCAATGGCTTTCCTACTTTATGAGGCAATGATGTGGAATAGAAATGCAGATCAGGAGTTCTGACTTCAGCTGCTGCATGCCTGTTCCAGGTCAGTAAAGGTTTACTTTAAAGCTTAGCATGACATTTCTGACAAAAAAATATTATTGTGAGGTAGGGCATTGCAATACACCTTTAAGGTTCCATGCACACTAGTGTTTATTTAAGCTTCTAGAAGCTGTTTTTAGCATTTTCTTTCTGCTCCTAGAAGCTAAATAGTGTTATCCTATGTGTTCATGCACACTACTTTAGGTTATTAGCATTTTTTGAGCTTCAGCATCCAGGAGCATAAAAAAAATATTTTTGTAGCGTTTTTTTGAGTGTTTTTCCAGCGGAAAGAAACGCTAAACACTCTTAAACAGCTCCTAACAGTTTTTTCTGCATGTCCTGTAAAAACGCTAAAAAAACGCTAAAGCTTCTAAATGCTCCTTAAACGCTACTACCAGCGTTCATTATCTAGCATTTATTGAGCTAAAAAAAAAAACGCTAGTGTGCATGAAGCCTTAGAAGAACTTTGTCTTTTTGGCTTATGTTTTTAGATACTCTTGATGTTTTCATCTTGCTCATAAGAACTAACACCTCATAGGAGCTATATATACAGCACATGTGGCTTTTTTTTTTTTTTATAACAAATATGTCTTACTAGTAACTAGTGAAAGTTTAATCTAAGCATTGGCCAGCACACACACAACTCAACAAAAACAGATCTAGTGTCTCTGAAATTGTGTTGCAGGCATTGGCCAGAAATGCATGAAAACAGCTTAGAAATAACGGATCTATAAACTTAAAAACATGGCTAGCAAAAGTATGTTGTGTGCATTGACAAGCGATATATGTGCAAAGCTCAGCAGCAAGAACAGATCTAGCAATTCTGAAAGTGTGTTCTAAGGATTAGCCAGCAACGCATGCCCAAGCTCAGCAAGAACAGATCTCGCAAATCTGGAAATGTGTCCTAAAGCTGGCCAAACACTAGCAGAATTTTGTTTGAAACTTAAGAAAGTTTAGTGTTAGTGAGGTGAAAGCAATGTTTACTGACTGTAGTTCAGGAAAGTCCATTCACACCAAAGTTGAATGTTAAAAACATATGTTTTTGAAGCACTTTTTAACCACCTTCCACCCGCCATATAGTACAATGATGGGCGCAAGGTGGTTCTCTCATTCTGATAGGACGTCATATGACGTCCTTCCATTCTCATTCCACGCATGCGCAGCTCAGGGAGCACGCAGCGCAGCGATCACCGGTGCGCTGTGTCCGAGGGAAGATGTCGGCTCGGTCATGTGATCAGATGTGTCCAATCACAGTTGATCACATGTAAACACGGAAATGCCGGTTATCAGCATTTCTCTCCTCTTGAGCTGTCACGCTGACAGCTCGAGAGGAAAGGAGAGCCAGTAATTGGCTTTCCACGGAGGGGACATGTACTCTGATCATCACGGCACTGATAATCAGTGTGCCCTGATGATCAATGTGGCCCCAGAAGTGCCACCTGTCAGTGTCCATCAATGCCACGTGCCAGTGCCCATCAGTGCCACATCAATGCCACATATCAGTGCATACCAGTGCACATCAATGCCACATATCAGTGCCCATCTGAGCTGCCTTTCAATGTCACCCATCAGTGCTAGTCAGTGCCACCTATCAGTGCTGCCAATCAGTACCACCTATCAGTGCCAGTCAGTGTCGCCTATCAGTGTGCATCAGTGCCGCCTATCAGTGCCAGTCAGTGCCACATATCAGTGTTAGTCGGTGCCGCCTAACAGTGCCAGTCAGTGCTGCCGAACAGTGCCAGTCAGTGCCACCTATCAGTGCTATATATCAGTGTCATGTATCAGTGCCGCCTGTCAATGCCCATCAGTGCAACCTACCAGTGCCTTCTCATCAGTGCCCATCAGTGCCACCTATCAGTGTCCATCAGTGCAGCCTATCAGTGCCCATCACTGCAGCCTCATTAGCGCACATCAGTGAAGGAGAAAAATCACCTATTTACAAAATTGTATAACAAAAACTAAGAAAAAACTTTTTTTTTTCAAAATTTTCAGTGGTTTTTGGTTTGTTTAAGAAAAAATAAAAATCCCAGAGGTGATTAAATACCACCAAAAGAAAGCTCTATCTGTCTCAAAAAAAAAAAAAAATGATAAAAAAAATGATTTCATATGGGTACAGTGTTGCATGACCGCGCAATTGTCATTCAAAGTGTGACAGCGCTGAGAGCTGGAAATTGGCCTGGGCAGGAAGGGGGTATAAGTGCCCTATAGGCAAGCGGTTAAAGACATTCATTGTGTCATGAAATGTTTTGACAGGAAATTTCATACGAATGTTCATTCAAAAATCTACTATTGTATGGCCAGCTTAAGCAATGCACACAAACAGCTCAACAAGAACAGATCCATTAACTCCAAAAGTGTGTCTGAACACTGGCCAGCAAAAGTATGTTTTAAAAAGGAGTTCTAGTCACATTGTAAAAAAATAAAAGTCAGCAACTACAAAAATTGTAGCTGCTGACTTTCAAAAACCAGCCACTCACCTGTCCCTCGATCCTGCAGTGTCCTCCCCGCAGCCCGTTTCACCAGCCATCTGGTGTTCCCTGCGCCAGCACATTCAGTGTGGGCACCTGGCTGTGACAGCTTGTGGCATCACAGCTGGGTGCCAACTGCACATGCACGAGTAGTGCTGCACTTTCTGAATGGTCCCATAGTCTTCTGGGACCTGTCACGTGTCCCAGAAGACTACAGGGAGTAGGACAACTTCCGCTTTCGATCGCCTAGGCAAACGCAGCAGAAGTGGGGGCGGTACCCACTCCTCCCCCGCTCCCCAAAGGTGCCAATCCTTAATGGGGAGTAGGGGACCAGACTTTAAAGTGGAACTTCCCGCTTTGGGTGGAGCTCCGCTTTAAGTACTGACCAGGAATGTATGTAAACAACTCAGCAAAAACAGATCTAGCAAAACTGAACGTGTGTTCTAAGCATTACAACTCAAATACTTTAGGCCTATATTTTACACGGGATCTTCTGTTAGTTTTGCCAGCAAAAGCCTTCATTTCATGCAGAAAATACGCATAAGTCTCAGCGAATGAAGCCTTGCTTGTCAGGCACTTTCACAGCATGTACAATCAAAAGGCAAAAAAGAAACACAACAATTATATTAAATAAAAATTAAAAAAAGATACCTGCCCTACTCTGTTTTACAATAATCATATTTGTCAGAAAAGCAGACTTGGAGTTTTGACATTGTGTTTGGCAAGATCTGATTCTAGAAAATATGAAGACAATTTGTTGACTATTCAAAATGTATCATTTAGAACTGTAGTAAAACAAGCTATATAAGCATATTTTATTTCGGCTTTATGCAGCTTGTACAGTATTGTTATTTCAACTGTGATTTGGAGAGTAGTAGATCATTAAAACCTGCTAAACTACCAATTATATTTAGTAGAATGCTTGAAGATTCTGCACTGCACTGCATGATTTTCCTACAAACTGGAAAATAACTTTTACTACTATCTGCCATTTTGATCAACACTCAGTGATTTTATTTTACCTAAAATACTGTAGTGCTATTTGTGTTTATTGAATATTTGTGGAATATGCAATACATTTTTATAAAAAACTTCTCCCCAACTGTCAGTGAATACTGCACACAACCATAAAAGATTATGTAAACATTATTAAACCTTTAAAGCCATTATAGGGGATATGGATATGGAGACTTTTGCCTTATCTTTATGCTAACAAACCTGGACCATTAACATGCCATAAAACATGTGACTTCAACCATCACATGGCATTCATAGCAGTTGGATTTTGTTTGAACAGATACTTTGGTGATGGAGGTGTGTTTTTCTAAGTTAGGCTAGAAATGCATAAAGTGTGGAACACCCTGCTTGGGTGGCCAGACAGCAATGTTGATTGAGTGCACAAAATTAAGGTAATAGACAACTATCAGTGCTATATAAACACAATCTACCATAGCCATTATCAAAAAAATAATCATTATGTTCTCATTTAAAAGTAGTAGACCCTTACCTTCATTGTTAAAATTCAAGTAGAGGAATGGCGCACATAAAGAATCCAAGCCTGTCAATACAAAAAGCACTGCATTAAAGAGTATTTTCTCTATAGGCTTGCTTTATCTTGAAATCAAAACCCCAAGTCATCCAACAATAAAGGAAATGCAGGTTAAAGCCCAACTCCAGACAATTTTTATAGGGTTTTTGTGGAAAGTGTTAGGCCTGTCAAGTCTGTGTCAGAATTCCCCTCACTTTCTATCCAGGTGACACCATGACATGAAGTGACGCTACCTAGTGAAAACAATAAGAACCTGAGAAAGGTTTCAGCCATTTTCCACTCTACTAAAAAAATATTGTGTCTCTGTTTAAGAGATTTAATCTGATTCCCTTTCCATTGAGGAAGGGTAGCTGGAAGTGAGCAGAAATATCACTAACAACCTCAGTCCTACCTAAAAAGAAAAGTAAGTTAACGTGGACCTGAACTCAAAAAAGAATTAAGATTTGATATGTTATAGGAAGCATCTTTTTTGGGCACTGATTGATCAGTTTAGGTCCATTTTCAGCAAATGTGAATAAACGCACAAATGAAAAGTGAAGTACAGTATTTTAACTTTTAGAAAGGTTTCTTTTGTAGCATCTGAGAATATAATTTTGCTGCCTGTGTCACTGCTAGGGAGATTCACTCCTCTCAGTGGTGTCGCTATGGGGGTGCGGACCACAACTAGGTAACACAGGTCAAAGGGTTGACACCACTGGCATAGCTACAACTGCAACCCCACCCCTACTCTAGGGGGTCCATGTGTCCCCCTGTCACAATATTCCCTGTAACACTGTGTCACTGAGGAAAAGTAAACTCAGGGGGCACGGGCCAGGATATGGGCTGGCAGGCGAGTCTGTACTGAGCAAGGAGGTCTATACTTAGTGGAGAGGGGTATCTGTACTGAGATGCGGAGGGGGGTCCTGTACTTAAGGAGGGTATCTATACTTAACGGGGGGGGGGGGTTACACAATGTTTTACAGCACTAGGTGGCACCAAACCTAGTGAATTTTATGCTTTACATACATTTGTTACTAAAAGGCTACACTGTAACATCAATCAGCTTTTGTGATGCTTCAGAGAATGTCACCCTTATGTAAGTTACAGAGCTTTTTGTGTAGTTTTATCATAAGCATGTCTACTAAGTTAAAATCTGTAGTTGTTCAGGCATCACAATGTAAAGCATGTTGTCATTTTCCTATAAGAGGCTGGTCTGCATAGATCATGATGGTCTCATGACTTGTACTAATCCCTCAGTTCTGCTCAATACTCTTGTGGGAATTTACTTTTTCCCATAACAGAAGAACTCTAAAGACTATACATGTGGATTTGCTATTGTTTAGGATTCACACTGTACAATTCATAAATTGGAAAATGTTCAGAATATGTGTGGCAATAGAAGAAAACCCCATCAAACAGACTTCTGCTCGCAAACAGTAATAGCTGTGAAACACACATCGTCAATATACTAGGTTTAGATATAGGTAACACAACACACATAACAGGAAAATGATAGTATAAGTGTAGTTTACCACACAAGTATACTAAGTTTGGATGGAAGACACACAATGCAAATAACAACAATATAATGATCAGAGTAAAACACCCTCCAAGATATGGAGTCTGGATAAAAGATACACAATACTATAAAAGCAATATGAAGAGTAGAGTAACTCACCCTGCCAGTATACTAGGTTTGGATGTGATACCACCCAAGCTTTTAGCACTCTTCGAAACTTTGCATGCCCTTCAGGTGAGGAGAGCAGCTCATCATACTGATGACAACGTGGAATATCAACTTCAATCTAAAAAACAATAGCAACACAACTCTATATGAATAACTCAGCTAGCAAATACTGCACTGTACTCAAATTATGGGCAGCTAAAGCAGAATGTCTATATGGCACAGGGTCATAAATAATTGTGAGGTTGTTACTGGGTAATACTGTTGCCTACAGGATAATTGGACACAGGCAAACAAAAGAGTTGTAAGTCAACAAGATGTATTCCCTCCAACTGCCATCATCCTTCATTCTCATACAAAAGCAGTAGTAGGCGTGAGCATAAGGCATAGGAATGGGTCCTGTGTCCCTTTAAATGAACTCAAAGAGGCCACCATCAAGCCCAGAACTCTCATGCAAAAGTAGAGAATAGAACGGATCCTGGACTACAGAGTCCAAACTTTGGAGCAGAGACCCAGGAGTTTGTCTTTTGGGAGAAAAACATTGGACTGTGCAGTAACTTGGGAGAAAAAAAAAAGGTTGCTCCAATCGATGAGTTGATTACCGAAGTTTCAGGATCCTTTCAAGAGTCTGAACCATTCTGTCCACAAAGCAAGAAGCCAGCCAAACGTGTCATGAAAGGAATAGCCTGAGAATTCAGCATAGCACACACGGGAGCTGGTACCTTGGTGAATATTCAAGGCGTAGGTGACAGACCAAAGGAAAAGCAACAAACTGGCAGTATTGTGTGCCCACAGAAAAATGTAGGTAGTGTTGATGCACTGGAAAGATGGGGACATTCAAGTTAGCATCCTTGACGCCAGGAAGTCTCCCTGGTGAAGGGAAGCAATGACTAACTTGGTAGATTACAGGTGGAATTTGTGCACTCGAATGAAGATACTGAGTGCTTTTAGATCCAGAATGGAATATATGCCCCCATTTGCTTTGGATATTGCAAACAGGTTTGCGGTCTTAAAGTAGAGACCTCAAAAGCTCTCATTTTCTGGCCAATGACCAGAGCAGTGTGGAGATCTGTTAGCTGGCACAGAGAAATTGGAAGGTTTGATAAATTGAAGCAGGCCAGAGGTAGAGATTTAGAAGCTTAATCATATGATGCACAATCAGGAAACATTGCCCCAGTGTTTCACTGCGTCTTCGGTGGTGAGACACTGACCAGAACTGTGACAGGGAACAGAGAGGCAATGATCACATAAGATTTATGGGATACTTGTAAGTTAGTTTATTTAAGAACATATACAAATTTAAGAATGTTATGCTATGTGTGGTTGTATTTGGTTTCTTTGAGTGCGGGAGGAGTAAGCCCTGCATGATTCCAACCAGGACAGTCGAGATTTTGATCTACAGCCTTTATGAACTACCTAATTTATATTAGTAAAGGTCATACACAGAAGGTAAGTGCTAGTCCAAGGGTATAGAAACACACAGAGATCTTTCACTTGGAGAAGAAGGGAGGATGGGCAATCATTCTTGAGAAAAATCAATGCACTGAAGTTTGGCCACTGTGTGGACACGTGTTATGACCAATGGATAATGGACAATGTATGGATTGCTAATATTGGAGCATGAATAGAGAATGGACACTGGTGTTTATGCCTACTTGTTTTCTTATTTCAGGCTTTGAGTTCTGCAGACACTGTTTTTTAATTCTGCTGTTACATTAAAGTGTTACTAAACCCACAACAGTAAAATCAGTCTGTATATGCAGTAAAGCATACTTGTTATACACACTGTGGAACCTAAGGGGTTAATCCTCTGCATTGTGTAAAAAAGCCATTTGAGCCTGACTTCTCTGCTCCTCCTCTTGTTCAAATGTCCACGTCTTATCGCCTGATAAGACAGACTGAACCGTAGCCATTCTGCACATGCTCAGTTTGGTGTGTATTGCTGGAGAGGTTTTTTTTTCTTGGGAGATTGCATGTGATCATCACAGGGCCAATTAGCACTGTCCTGACAGAGGTCAGGGGTTTTGAATCCTACTAGAACAGAAAGAAAACTCCTCCTACAAGCTATAACCAGTGCTCTGCTGAACACTGATAGAAGTTCCAAGACTGCTCTAACTGTTGATGAGAAAAGGTATTTAGCAGTTTATATTTACTAAAATAATTGCACTTCCATGTTCTGTGTACTGTGGGAGACCAGATAAAGTGAATGCGGGATCCTGGGTTTAGTAACACTTTAATAGTTCTGAGATGAGTTGTAAGCTCTATGCACAGTTTATGATGACATGTAATTTTGTAAACATGGAACAAGTGTATCTTCCATCTTTATAGCGTATGTACTCTCCAGCGCCTCAGGATATGCACAGCCAAAAGGGAAGCCAAGGGTACCAGGACAGCGACAACCAAAAGGAAATGTTCCAGGGGTGCAGCCCTCCTCAGAAGGGGAAATCAGCCACTGGATAGAGAGAAAACAGGTGGCGCACACACCTAGTGCATTATCCAAGGTTTATTGTAGGAATTAAATCATAAAAAAACATACTCACAGACGAAGCATGTATCTAAAAAGCATAGAAAAATGACAATGGCCACAACGGCGGGCAAGGTGTTCGGGGACGAATCCCTTTCCTCAGAGCTGATGACCAACCTGTATGGAGGTCAAGTAGTAAAAAATAACCAGGGCTAGATGCCTTGGGAGCAAAGCTCCACCTCCTCTACGTGTTATAAGATGAGGAGTTGGAGGGGGTTATTTAAAGTGCAATCTTTTGTAGTTTTTATAAACGCATATACATACATATATACATATATACACATGCATATGCACATATACAAAGAGATATGCATGCACTAAGAAACAAAGCAAATAAAAAATTATTAAAAATACATGAATATAGCACCTGCAAATGTAAATAAATAGAAAACATTTTTTTTAAAATAAAATATATAAAAAAAATTATGTATATGTAAATAATCATAGTAGTAACACTGGCAATGATGATAAAAATAATAATATTAGTAAACATAATAATAATAATAATAATATTATCCATCTTTATACACTATACGTTTCAGGTAATGTACTAATACATTTTTTACACACACACACACACATATATATATATATATATATATATATACACATACATACATACATACACACACACACACACAGTGCTGTGAGAAAGTTTTGCCCTCTTCCTCATTTTTTTTTGCATATTTGTCACACTTAAATGTTTTTTTACACAAAGGCAACCGAGTAAATACAACATGCAGTTTTTAATAAAGGATGATTTCATTTATTAGGGGAAAGAAGCTGTCCAAACCTGCTTGGCCCTATGTGAAAAGGTAATTGCCCCTTAACCTAACAACTGGTTGGCAACAACTGCAAACATGTGTTTGCGGTAACTGGCAATGAGTCTTTCACATCGCTGTGCAGTTATTTTGACCCACTCTTCTTTGCAGAATTGCTTTAATTCAGCCACATTGGAGGGTTTTACAGCATGAACCATTTCTCGCCCGGCAAATAGCAAATTGACGGTAGAGCGGGACTTTCGTCGATTCGGGAGGGCGTTATATGACGTCCTTTCGGATAGAACCTCGCACATGCCCACGGTGTCCATTGGACACAGCCGATGACAGATCTGTGTCCACGGCCTGTTGCTGGTACACAGATTGTCATAAAGTCTAAAAAAAAATACTTGAGCTTGAAAATATTGTCAGAAGAAAGGTTGCCGCTCTATACGATCATGATGTCCGGTCTATGGAATGGCCTCAACCGTAGTGTCGGCCATGCCCTCTAGAGGGCGTGGCTGGCACTACGGCGGAGGCCATTTCATAGACCAGAATTTATGAATGGATAGAGCGGCGTCCTTTCTTTTAACAATATTTCCAATGGCTGGAAGCATTTTTGGATACCGCTCCCCCTTCTTCTGCAGGTGAGGTGACTTTAGACTGTATCTCAACTTGGGTTCCACCAGTAAGCCAAGTGAGATTGAGCTTGAGGCCTGAGGATCCTGGCAGAGTGCACAATTCATGGTTCCATCAATAATGGCAAGTCAATCAGGTCCTGAACCTGCAAAGCAGCCCCAAACCATCACACTACCACCACGTTTGACTGTTGGCATGATGTTCTTTGTACGAAATTCTGTGTTAGTTTTACACCAGATGTAACAGGACGCATACCTTCCAAAAAGTCCAACTTTTGACTCATCAGTCCACAGAATATTTGCCCAAAGTCTTGGGGAAAATCTAGATGTTTTTAGGCAACTGTGAGATGAGCTTTTGTGTTTTTGGTTAGCAGTGGCTTTCCCTTTGGAACTCTCCCATGGATGCCATTTTTGCCCAGTCTCGTTCTTATTGTTGAACCATGAACACTGTACCTTAACTGAAGCGAGTACTGCAGTTCTTTAGATGTTGCTCTGGGTTCTTTTATGACCTCCTGGATGAGTCACCATTGTGCTCTCTGAGTCATTTTGGTAGGCTGGCCACACCTGGGAAGGTTCACCACTGTTCCAAGTTTTCTCCAATTGTGGATAATGGCTCTCAGTGGTTCGCCATAGAAATTGCTCTGTAACCCTTTCTAGACTGATACATGTCAATTACTTTGTTTCTCATCTGTTCTTGAATTTCCTTAGATCGATGTGTTGCTTTTTGAGATCTTATAGCATGCTACACTTTGTCAGACATCTTCTATTTAAGTGATTTCATGATTCAACAGGTCAGGCCGTAATGAGGCCTGGGTGTGACAAGTGAAATTTAACTCAGCTTTCCAAATAATGTAATTAATCACAGTTCATTCATGATTTAGCAAGGGAGGGACAATTACTTTTTCACATATGGCCAGGCAGGTTTGGGCAGGTTTTTTCCCTTAATAAATGAAAACATCATCAAGTGCATTTTGTATTTATTTGGGTTATCTTTGTGTAATTGTACAATTTATTTGATTATATGAATCATTTAGGTGTGACAAATATGCAAACAAACTAAAAAAAAAAAACAGGAAGGGAGCAAATACTTTTCAGTGTGTGTGTGTGTTCCATGTATATTTGGACACAGGTACAATGTTAGTTTTTTTTCAGGTGTTTACCAAAACTTATTCAAGCTATAGTTAAATAATGGATATGGGCT